TAAGCTCCCCCTAGCATATACATAATTTTTAATATTTAAAAATTGAAATATTCATGAAAGAAACTTGAATCATAGCTTTTAGGAAGAAATGACTATGAAATTTTGTGAGCAAATACAGTAAGTGAACTTTCAAAACATAGAGAACTAAAATTCAAGAAAAAACGCATTTTAGTGAAAGTTTTTTAGTTTAAGTATTAGTAATTTTTATTATTTAAATTTAGCAAGTTCCTTGCGCTTGATATTTGCTGCAAAGAAATTTTATGTCAGGTTCCAGTTTAGATAACTTGAGTCTCAAGTCTCCCGGTTTCATTATATACAACCGATTTTTTTTCTTTTTTTTTTTTAAAGCAGCAAATCATTTATGGCACTAAATCCGCATTCAGCAAAATATGAAGATGGAAACCGTAGCAATAGTTCTTTTGCAAATTTTGTTGCATTTGGATATCTGAGTCTGGTTTCCTCACAAAGCTATGTCATCGCTCCTTTTATATTAAATAAAGTTTTAATTGACACATCATTTTGCATTTCTGCGAGTTCTTCTTTTTTACTGCATATTTGAAATATCAGCCAAATCCACTAGTATTGGCTGCATCATCCAAGTTAGAAAATCAATTTGTTTTAAATTACAAAATCTTTTAAATTGGCCAATAAAATTTTCAGATGATCAATTATAACAAGTATAGCGGTAGTCATATCACATTTTTGGAACCAATGAGACTTTTCAAAATTTTTGTGGTAAATAGTATATACCTGACATAATTCAACAAAGATAATAAAACCAAATCTTTCTTTTGCATCATAAGTTTTATTTGCTTTTTGAAGTTGTGTATTTAATATATTTAATTTTTCAAAGATATTGGCTAAATAACTCACAATTGCTTTGTTATCATCCGTTAACGGATTTTTCTTTTCAGGTTTGTGGCTTAAAGAATAACTAAGAGTATCAAATAGTTCCATAAATCTTTCCAAGCAGTTCCCTTTCAACAGCCTTCTTACTTCAGTGTGAAGTACAACTCCCATATAGTCTTCATTTTGTTCTTCATAAAATAACTTGAAAAGACATTTACATTTGGCCCTAGCTTTAATAGCATTGATACACTTTATAACTGAATTTAGTACTTCATTTAGAACAGGCGAATTGTTTTTAGCTACCAGGTTTTCTCTGTGAATAACACAATGCACAAGAAGTATTTCTGGATTCTCATCTTTTATCAATTTTAAGCAACTCTTTTTCTTATTCCATGCTTTATTTTATTTTTCAACCATCATATTAGGAGCACCATCTGCAGTATAAGATGTATCAAAGTTGGTTCATCCATTTGCACCGAAAATTTTCTTGTTTTCAGCTTTTCAACAAGTTGTATTTCAATAGCCTCACTCATTTAATCTTTCTTCTGCAAACAGTATTGTTATTTAGTGGCATAGCTTTTAACGTCTTCGTCATCTTTTTTTCTAGAACAGTTTTAAATGCTGATATTGATGGTTTGATTCAATTTTTCCCCCTATAGTACAGCTTTTCCCAGATTAAGTGATGAGTAATGAAATTTGATAAATAGCCTCAAGAGCACGATTAACAGTTGCATTATGAGCAGTAAATAGACACTTTAATATTACTCTGTTTTAAAAAATGTTCCTTAAAGTGTGAAATAATTCAAATCTGAATTAATATCAGCATTATGTTTCACCTTCAAATGTGCCTCAAGATGACCTAGTTTCATTGATTTGTTGGTCAGGCATTATTGGCATAAAAGGACAAAAGTTGACCGTTTATGGACCAGGATGAAGCCAAATTTTAAATATGCCACCGAATACCGACGAACGGTTTTTCTTGCTTGCACCCCTCATTTCACTAAGGGCTGAAAGAAATAAATATAAGCAGCTGCTGTTACCATTCAAGGAAAGAATGATATACTGGTTGCCATTCATTCCTACAGTAAAAAATAAAATTAATTCGTTGGCTGAAATGTGCTAGAAACATCTGGAAAGCATAATGTTTCAGTTATTTAACTGCCTTTAAAAGCATTTAAATGTCCATGTCTACAGCGAGAATTCTTTATAACATATTTAAAATGCACCACAATTTAAAAACTTTTTTATGTATACATGACTTACATTTTTCTTTATTTTGGGGAATAAAAAATGAAATTTCGAAAAATTGTGACTTCATAAAACATATTTAGAACGTCCTTTGTCCCCTTAAACTCTGGACAAGTCCATTTTCGAATTGCCCTCCCTTAACAGCCGCATTGCCACCTTGTTGGGCGTGGGCCCCACGTTGAGAAACACGGTCATAACTAGAAGTCGCAAGGCTTGAGATCGGGTGATTGCGGAGGCCAAGCTGTAGAGAAACATAGGTTGATCATGCGTGCATCTGTAAATGGCCTCCTCAACAATTATTGGACTGGGATTGGGATCTGCGATGAAGCTCCATCTTGCATGAATACGGTTTCATGTTTGTATGCAGGCTCATTGCTGGAGAGTAGAAATGCATAGGTCTGTAACAGGACATGATACCATTGCACGTTTACAAAACAAGTGGTAAGTCCTTGAGGGGTGTCTTCTTTGAAAAAATATGGTCCGATATAGAATGCAGCAGTGAACTCACATCATACAGTAACTTTCATATCATGCAAGGGTTTGGCATTAACCGCGTGGGAGTCTCATTGAGATTTGACCATTATGAGTATTCTCCTGTCCATTAAGATGGAAGTGGGTTTCGTGTATTCGCAAAATTTTCCATTGCCTGGAATCATCAGCTGCCATTCTTGTGAGAAATTGCAGCTTGAATGTTTTGCAAGAGTCTGGAGTTGTGCCGTTCCAATTGCTGAACCGCTTGAATTTTATACGAGTAGAAATTCAGAATTATACGCATGATGGGTCGGACAATGGAGGACATATCAAGGATACGTGGAATCATCAGTACACTGACAGTTCCGTGAGGCAATTCACTGCTTTTTTCCAGGATCACTGTAGCAATATCCTCTATGATGGCGGAGATGAAGAAAAAGGCTGGAAAGACGAAGAAAAAGGGTACAAAATTTTTCTTCGTCTTATCAACAGAATGCCTAGTTGTCCTGTTCATTCAAATTTCACCATCATGTCTCTGACAGCACTGACAGCATGTTGCGACATTGGGCTATGTTGTTGTTTTTTGAGAAGGCGGAACTCTCTCACAGCTGCCTCTGCATTCTCATCTTTGCAGCAGTATAGTTCGACTAACAGTACTTTCTCCGGCAACGGTGGCATTCTGCAATGCTCATCCAATTTCTTCCTTTTATCATGTGTGGCATTTGCATATGTTGCTGCACTGTGCTGCCCCACAGTGCTATCTGGTAATGATTATTTTAACTAATATTTTTATCTCAAGTGCATTCTCCGAAGTGTGTGTTGGCCAAATATTTTTCTCTTTGGACTAGTAGAACGGCCTCCAGGGCTCTTTGAGTAGAGGAACTTTAATTTTACTAACTCTGTACATGACGGAGTGTCTAATGTTATCAAGATTGTTGAAAAAAGCACTGTACCACTTACTTGAAAATTCCAAAAGATGTTGCTGGACTGTAGAGTGAGATACCACTGAAATTGCAAAAGCCACATTTCTTTAATCAGTGCTTTTTTGGGTATCAATAAAATAATTTTTGTGGTTAAAATATGTACTCATTTCTAAATTAGAATTTGAATCATGAGAAAAATGGCAAAGATCCTTGTATGTGTATCTTGTATTGTAAATGTATGTGTGTTTCTTGCATTGTGATAAAACAACAGTACCTAGAGCTATCCAATTTTGAACGTACATTTCCACTCGAATTTATAATTAAAAGCGAGCAATGGCAACACTGTACGAGGGGGGACCTTTTTATATCCAGCGTGTGGAACTATGTATTGGAAATTCTAAAGATATGCTCATTTTAAAATTATTTTGCGATATTGCTGTCGAACTGAATTTTATGGTTTAAGTGCGAAGAACATGATATTTAATAAATAAATGTAACACCGTTAAAAAAAATGCCCCTTTGGACATAATTTAAAATCTGAAACCTTTCAGATATATTTATTTATTTATTTACTTGAGCGAATCATTTATACTATGAGGGGAGTGTATTAATTCTTACAGGGTTATCTTGAAACAACATTATATGTAATACCTAGGGAAAGTATGTAATTCATACATTGCCGATAATTTTTTGCCTTATATTTCATACATTGCCAATAACATATATTTTCAAATTTGTATGTCATAGAAATGTACATTCCTGAGAACAGAGCAGAAGAAATAAGAATTATAATTATTTAATTAATTTTTATTAGTCTAATTCAACTGTTTCTCCCCCATTCAAAACTTGTTCTATTATTTTTCAAATAATGTAAATAGACTTGATTTCATGAATTCTAACATGTGGCTTGCTCTGTCAAAGTTTGGTAATCTCTGATTTGCATTTACATAACATATTCACCCTAGTGAATTTTCTACATTTCAAATTCTTTATCTTGATTAATGAGTTGCCATTCAAGGTTGATGAATGAAATATCTGGTAAGCTGTTCATAGTTCAGAATTCTCTAACAGCTACTAAGTATGATGATACTTTTAGAATTGAGTCTATAAATATGTGAAGAAGTATAAAGAAGCTTGATTTGCTAAATAAATAGGTAAAAACTGAATACATCTTTAGCTCTCTGATTATTCTGTTTCTACATACCTCCTAAAAGGGATTATATAATTTTATAGAATAGTTTTAGTTTTTAATCAGTGAATATTTGAAGATATATTACTGAAAAGGAAATGTAATATAATGAGAGGGAAATCTGAAGATTTTGAAAATAAATAAATGAAGTGTTGATAAAAGTAGGAAAAGAAAAAAAGAGCAAAATATCACTATCATATTTAATGTAAAATGAAATAATAGTTCAAAATAAGTTTTGTTGTATAGCATAAACATCATCCTTGTATAGGTTATTTTGTATGAAAATTATAATTTTCAATATTTATATGTATTGTTTGTAGCTACTACAACTGAATAATCCAGATAGTATTGAGCCTGTCTCCCAATCCTATTTGGTTGAACTGACTGTTGTTGCTCCTGCGGGTCAAGTAAGTTACAACAAGGAGATTTATATTAGCTTTACTAATTTTTTAAACCAGCCTTTGTTTTATATTAATTAAGAGGCCAGGGCATTTAGGGAGAAATGATATAGTATCCATTCTTCAAAAAGAATTTTATACTAGTGTAGGATCATCTGGTTTAACTTGTTCTTGTACCGGGTGCTTTAAAAAAAAATTGTTTTGTTGGCTTGTAAGTCAATGCTTGTAAACTTAATACACTTAAACCTGAATGTCAATTCTTTAATTATAGCTTTCCTGATGTATCATTCACTACTTCTGCTCTTGAATGAGACTTCACTACGGAATCAAAATTGTGGATGTTTTATCTCTAGGCTTTAAGGTTACTGCTTTATTTTCTGTCATACAAATTCAATTTTGTCACCTTACATTTATTTATTTATTTTTTTTTTTTTAATATGATTCACATTTCAGGTAAAAATAAAGCATTTCTTTTTAGAATTGTAAGAATTCAAATTATACAACACTTCATGGGGGGAAAAAAAGCAAAATTTTACCATTTTAATCTTCTTATCATTTGGAAGACCTCTATGAAATTGTTTGTTGCCATCCATGTCTTTTTTTTTTCCTCTCTTCATTCTATCATGACATCTACTTTTAATGCTTTCAAAACATCTTAATTTTTAATGACTTTCCTATGACAGCAGATATCATCTTTTACATTCCATCAGCATTTGCATATATTAAAATAAATTTTTAGAGCTGTCTTTCACAAATTCAAGTGAGTCATTTTTGCATTCTCTGCTTATGAAAAGTCATGAGAGTATGCAGGTACAGTTAGAAGTGGACATAATCTCACAATTTCACCATTGGTCATACACGCATAATCCCGTTCTTCTAACTGTGCACTTCTGCTCTAATTTTTTGTCCGGAAAACCAAGGTCTCCCACACTTCTGCTGCTGTCATCAATCTCCCGGGAGGACTTTTAGTTCATAATGTATTTTGAGTGCCTCCTTGTCGCACAGACACTTACAGACATCTTTGTCTTGTATGGAATTCGAAACTGGGCCTATCGGTACAACAGTAAGGTAAACAGATAAAAGTGCATGGGGTACCAGAGACTTCACTACAGAATCGAACAGGTATTGCCCCAGTACACTAAAGGTACAACAGTCAACATCACTAACCACTATACCGTATAAATTTATGGAGCAATGTTATTAGAGAAGCAGTCATCTTTCACATTCAGTAAGTCCTTGCACCCCCCCAGTCCTGTTAATATAGGCCCATGCATTAGAATATTTGATGCTCTGAAAATGTATATCCTGAATTTTTTTAAATGTTTTTTACCTTAAAACCATATTTTCTGTGAAGTGGATTTTTTTTTTACAAACTTTCACTCTTTCTCCTTTTAGAAACATTTATTTTCAGTGTTAACCAAAGAAACCTAGGTTATTTATATATATATAAAGAGAATAGGAATTATTCTACTTCTAACTATTATGTATTGTCGAATTCATTTGCAATTTCAGTCATTATCCTTTTAATGAGAGGCTGTTTCATTTTTTGGGCATTTTAACAGCATGTTAAGTTATAGAAAGTTAAGTTATAGCATGTTAAGTCCAGAAGAAAGCAATTGAGTTAAATTGGCATTACCAAATGATAGGGAATGAAGCTTCTTCCATTAATAAATCTGTCTGGTCGCCAGAATCTATTATCTATTCTGTTGTACCAATTGACCTTCCCTTCCATTCACCTCTTAAATTTAGATTCTGTATTAGTCTGAGATATACTGTGTCTTCATTCTCTTCTTGTATGCACTTTATCTATAGTCCTTAACCAGTTATTGACCTTATGTCAGTGTTAACAAAGAAAGATATATATGTTATTTAGATTTTGATAGCATTCGCACTTATGCAAATTTTTCACCCAACATACATTGTTTAAATCATATTGAGCTGCAGAAAGATTAATTAATAAGGGCAACATGACAACAATTTGAGTTACAAGTGAATATTTCTTCATAAAATTGGTGGTAGAATCTAAAAAAATATTAATGTGAACATTATTGGTGTTCCATTCATTAAATATGTTATTTGTTTGGTTTATCAGTGTCCCATTTTCCTTTATAAAAGTCTTTTTTGCGAGAATGGGGGGGGGGGATTGAGAAAGTTTTTAAAAGAGCCATAAGTAAATAGTTGTTGCTAAAAATGATTCAGAACAAAAGCTAGAGGAATGAGTGATCAAAAATAAAGTTTTTTTTTGTTAAATATACGTTTGTTGAAATGTATCATTTTTTTTTGAAAACTATTAACACACATTTGTATCATTATGTATATTGCAGTTTGTTTCTGAAATGTCTTGATTTTCTATGTTCATCTTTTTTTTTTCCATCTCCTAAATCCAAAAAAATAAATGTGATTCTTTAATGTATATTTTTAATGTAGAATTAATTATCCTATAATTAATATTTCAAACCTCCCTACAAGGCAAATGACAAGCATCTGGTTGGCTGTGGACTTCATAAAAGAATGGGAATGTCTTTCAACGAAAAACAAAAGTAATTACAAATTTCGCTATCAGAGAGCATTGTATTAATAAATGCATCCAGTCATACCTTTGCAATAATTTTACAATTTTTTAAATTTTATTATGACAAAACATGTTCCACATGATGGCCATCATTTTCAACTACCATCTGAAATTGCAAAATAGCGTGTTCCGCAGTTGAGCGAAGTGTGTGCTGGGATACGTTGAGCTCATTATGTGAAATGCTGACTTTAAGATAAGTAAAATTCTTGGATTGTCATGACTTACCAGATGTTTAAAATGCATCAAAAGCCAAAAATCGCATGGATCATGGTGTGGGAATCAGGGAGGCCACACATTACGAAAGTGCTGGTTGGCGATACATTTTTCTGTAAAATGGGCCCACCAGCGGCCGAGCGGTAAAGTCACTGAACACTGGTAGTTCGGTCCGAGGTTCAAATCCCGCGAACGGGCTGGCTGCATGGGTGTTTTCGTGGTTTTCCCCATGTGTAACGTGTATACGAGCCAGTTCCTTAGAAGTCCTCCACGAAGGCATCCCTCCCTTAGGCAGATAGCCTAGTGTGCTTGCCATAATTAAATACATCACACCACCACCACACCTTCTGTAAAATGACTGTGAAAGCTACTAACACACCATACTATCTGAGGGGAGTTTCATCTTGCATTAGATTGTGCATGCAAGATACTGGCTGCTTGCAGAATCAGATAAATTTTTGTCTTTAATCCTTTGATGCGCACCAATATTTTTTAATTTTTTAACTAAACTCTAGAAAGTGAATATATAATCGAGTATTATATGAATTAAAAGATGTATCTGCCTATTGTTCGGTGTGGTGGTCGCACTGTGAAAACCACGCACGTCTAGACTTTGGAAAAAACTTATTTCTTCATGTGTGTTTCCAATAAGTTACAAAATTTATGAATTTTTTAAAAAATGTATGTAAGAATTGCTTATGTATAATTTTTTTACATTATTTTACAAAGTAAATCGCCAGAAAAAATTTTTAAATAAACATTTATGTAATTTTTTTATAGGAGTGAAAATATAAATACTACATAAGGAGGACGTTTGCTAAAGGGATAAAAAACTCAGTAAAATAAGGATAAAAAAAAGATCAGTGTTTTTTTTTTTTTTTTTTTTTTTTTGTGACACTGTTCAAGCATGTTTTGTCTTTTTGGTGCATGCATAGACCCACAGTGCACTTTCACACAGTATTGATGAGGTTTTCTTGTGCTACAAAATGTAGGACTGCCTGATCTAAATGGTACTGGTATATCAGCCTTATTAGTTTCTTTTCATCTGCACATGAAATTTGTGGTTTTTTAGTTAATGGAGGGGGGGGTGGTTTTTTGGTTGGACCAAATTTCACAGTGCTTTTTTTTTTTTTTTTTTTTTTTTTTTTTTTTGATTTATTTCCCATTCATACTTATTTTATTCATATTTCGTCCAAAATATTCAGAAAAATTTTTAATTAAAAACAATTTAAGCGATTTCTTTTTCTATTTTAATTATAGCAAGTATATTTACAACAAATTTCAACACAGGAAATAATTATAAAATTACAATACAGCTTGAGGTGCAAGCACGAGGTGTTGAGTCAGAGAAAAGTCTGGGGAAGAAAGACCTTTTTATGGACAGGTGCATGTATGGTAGTATAAAATAACTCTGTGGTTCAAACCCCTATCTATATCCGGGTAAAAATAACATTCATTGAAAAGCAGCAAAACGCCATGTGAAGAGCAGTGATTTCAAGGATGACCACGAGCCGGGGCAGTGGTCGCGCCTAAAACTACAAGCAAATGCCATGCATATAGAGGTTTTTTATAGGGCAGCTTAATTATTACTATTTTGTAGTTTATGATAGAAATCATGATGTGCGATGAATAACTTTTGAAATTTAAAGTTTTTTTTATTAATAAAAGGAAGTTATTTTGTCTCATTGAAAACGAATTTTAAAAGGCATCTGATTTGAAGTACTAAGACCTATGATTTTGCAGTCATTTTGTGTTATTTAGAGGTAAATAATCAGTAATCAATCGATTTTCACTCAAAAATTTCGGAAAGAAGAGTTTTCTCCTCTTCGAAAATTCAAAAATTGGTGGTTTCAGGGCGTGACCACCGCACGTCAAAGGGTTAACAGAGATTTGTATCTGTACATGGTGATCGAGCATGTCACTGCACCTGTAGGACTTACAGGCGGAGAATAAATGATGCAGAACATATACACCATACTGGTCACTTTTGGTGAATGAAATGGAACCTTTGAAATAAAGACGAGATTTACTGGCTCCCAAATTTGGCAGTTGTGAATACTCACTACACCATCCAAATGAAAATGTGCTTCATCTGTCCAGACGATATGCCAAAGCCATTCTGAATCATCTCAAAACAAGCAAGAATCTGAAGTGAGAACCCAAGCCAAGCATCAAAATCATGTTAAAGCAACTGCTGCACCAGTAGAAGTTTGTAAGGATAATATTAGAGGATATTCCACAAGATCTTATGGACAGTTAAACTTCACCTATCCAACAATGCCTCTACTACACACTGAATACTCATGCTAGCCTGAAAGTTTGAAGCTGTGTCCTCTATCACCTGAAGTGCAACCTTCAGTCCTGCTTCTGAACAAACGAGTTTCTTCCTTTTCCAGAACAAACAGAAAATAACCCTGTAAATTTCATTATCATTTTTTGAATGTTTTTAACGTTCATTGGATCTTTTCTAAATTTCTGTAGAGCAGCTACCATGGAATTACTGTTTTGTAAAACAATTTTACTAACGAAGCACAATCTCATAAACTTATTGTCATTGTAAGCAGTAGGCACATAGAAAACAAAATCTTCAGAATGTTTCTAGCTTTTATAATAGCTGCTGCATCGTATCAACAAAGATTTGCTTTTCTTACTACAGATTTTTAAAAGTAAAACACCTTCTGTTGATGCTATTTGTAATTATTTTTTCCCCACTGAGAAACATCCATTTATTAAGTCTGCTACAAAATTTGTTTTCTGATAGGTTTCGCTTGTAACTAGGTTTGAATAGGTGTTTTTAATTCTGGACACCCTGTATTTTCAAAAGTTTTTATATCTCATTAGATTTTTTTTTTTTAGTTGTCCTTATGAGTGCTTCTTATTAATGAAAATCTTTTTTTAAAAAGTTAAATAAATTCCCTTCCCCCTGAATGGAGGTATATGTTTATTTAGTAACAGAGCAAAAGGTAAAGTTATTACTTCTCTGCTTTTCCAAGAATGGCTATAATTTTAATTTTGCTTATTCTTGCAAATCAAATTTTAAGACATTTTCCTTTTATTTAAATAATATAAAATTTTATAATTTGTAGAAGAATAAACATTAAATATTAAAAATATTTGCTTTCTAAATATATAATATTTGTAATGTGATAATTAATCTTTATTGTAGGAAGCAATTGCCGATGAAATCAAAGCATTTTCAGAGCAGCTTAAACCATATCCTTTTACCTTCGTAATCTTTATCAAATGCATCATTATTTGTATTATTTTTATGAGATCATTCTGTAATGGTCGCACATAAATTCACATTAGACCATGAATTTTATCTTACTTATGAAACCAAATCTCGGTTTGACAACAACAACAACAAAAAAATCTAGAAATTTTCAGTTGGCATTTAAAAGCTATAAAAAATATTTCTAAACAAAGAGCTATTTGTTAATTTAATAACTAATAGTGGTTATTTAAAAAAAGTAGATTTTTTATAAAAATACCTTTAAATATATGAGAGAGCTGTTCGATTAAGATGATACTGTGTTTTTGGCCTAAATGGAGAAATGTTCTTGTGTTCCATTTTGAAAATAAAATTATTGTTAAAATGTTACGTAAAGAGCGATTGACACAGCGAAAGCAGATATGATGGAAAGACCTGCAGTAGCCAACAAAAAAGTCATATTTTTTTCATCTTGATAGAATAAAACTTGCTGCAATGTTAAAGCAACTTGAATGCGATGTTATGACTCATCTACCATTTCTAATCTGACATAATCAGGTAGTTATTTTTTACTTTTTTCCCCAAAGTTTTAAACTGAATTTAATTGAAATTTTTTGAATTTGAAATGTGATGTCTCAATAAAGCTTGACTCTTTCTTTGGTTTAAAATCTGAGAATTTCTATCACTAGCATACTAAAAATTTGAAATGAAGATGTTGACATCATAAGTAATGGTAGTAAATATGGTTAAAGTCGGAATCGTGGCAGTTTAGAAGTCATAAAAATATCTTATGCTTAATATTTCTGTCGGGCTGTTAATGTTTAAAAAGTAATGAAATGGTATCAAATTTTATTTTTGTTTTATTCAAATATCTGTTGTGAAATAAGATGTCTGTTACACATGGTCTAATTACAAAGCAGCAAATCATACATTTTCCCCTCGCAAATTCATAGAAATTCACTTCAATATGACCTTGGACTTAAGCATGAATTTTTCCAGCGATGAACAATTTTTTACCATATTGTATCATATATCTCATTTGCCCTGCATTTTCATTTTGGTCATTGTACCCAAGATTCTGCTAAAGTTCAGACAATGTTGTTTTAAATTTTATATTTGAAATTTCTGAGAAACTAGCTAAAATGAAAGGTAAAGCTTAAGGAGATTCAACATGCTTTTGTGCTCACTGATAGCTCAAGCTGCTGATAGAATGTGAAACACTGATAATTTGCACCGTGTTCTGTTCCTGCTAAATAAGGAAAGTAACTGTCTGTATTTTTGCAGTTTTCTCTATGTATCACATAAATATGGCCAGTTTCTTTTTTTTTTTTTAAAAAAAAAAGGTCTTCCTCTCATTAGGAGATAGAGACCTTTTCAGAGATTGGAGGGCATTATAAGAAAGCTATAAGGTGTGCGGTAGTGCTTTTTATAAGCATTATTCTGAGAATTTTCAAATATTCTTAGAAATAAATAACCAGCATTTAGCAGTAAGAAAAAGTGAAAATTTTCTTATTATAACCAAGCGTAGTATATTTGTGTCTAGCTGTGCAAAATTTGTCATATTTTTAAAATGCAAGCGTAAGATCTGTACCTTGTCATTGCTAAAATTATTTTCGGTTTTTCTTAGTCAGTACCTAAATTTCATGTTGTAGCAATGAGCCTTGGGTATTTGGGATATGGCATACAAGAAAAATTTCAATTATCATAGGAACAAATAGATATTTAAATCACCAAATCCAAGAAAAGAAGGTTTATAAGAGTGGAAAGTCAATGAGGGCACTTTTCTGTTGACTATCAGAGTATGTGTATACTAGAAAGCCGGGCGGTCATTCGAAATGACCGCTGTTCTAGATATCATAAATTGTAATTAAAATGATTTGTGCAAAGGTGTCTGCTAATTTCAAAATGAATTACCCAGTGTAGGCGGCCCCTTTGCTTACTGTCCCACGGGGTTTCCCCCTTCTATTTGCTTAATTGCTTAAAGTAGAGGGCAATGAAGGAAACCACTGGTGGTACATTTCTTAAGAGCCACTGTTAACTCAATAAATAAAGGTGATTTAAATAATAAAATGTTAATTCACATGTCACTCTTTATACACAACATTTCTTGTGTAGATCTTTCCATCATTTTTAAACTCGCCTTGCAGAGGACCGTCCATTATTTTTAGTTTTACATCCGTTCTTTCACGAACTCTTGAACAGGAAACATAAAGTTGACCATGTCTAAATGCAGGATCAGGTTAAAAAATGGCAACATGCTTAAGCGTTTGACCCTGAGACTTATTGATAGGCATAGCAAAGGCAAGTTTTACAGGAAATTGTCTACATCTCAATTGAAACGGCAACCCTGTGCCGTGGCAACTTCACCCCATTGGCTAGTACAGTTATGCAAGCAACCAAATAAACTATCGGCGACAAACATACACTTAAGCTGCATATATATATGGGGTGAAGTAACATCATCTCCTTCGAAACGGCTGGCTCCCGGGCTTAGCGAAGCATACCGTTGGATTCCGCAGGTCTGTGGCACGCCAGTTTAACTATTCGTGTCTTCTTGGGACTTTAATTAGCCAAGATATTAATTAAAAACTAATTTTGCCCTATGTTTTCCCTACATTTTCCACTTTTTCTTGATTTTCCCTATTAGAGGGATTTTTCTACGTGCCAAATTCTTTTTCTCGAATATCTACGAAACAGTGCCGAGTTGAAATTCGAGACACGTATCCTCTTCCAAAAAATTCTCTGAATCCATCGATACCGTTCTCATCTTCGCACGACTTTTATCGGTCGAGATATTAATTAAAAACTGTGGAAACGTTCATTTCCACGCTAATTTTTCCGAGTGGCAACAATAAATTATCGGTGACACACACTTTAGCAGCTTGTATATATAAAGATGTGTGTTTTTTAATGTGTATACTAAAGAAGTGGTCAATGAAGAGTCCTAGCTAAAAGTTCTCCATTACTTGCAAAAGTGCAGTTTTGTGCAGAGGAAAAAATGAAGTTCCATTATGATAACTCTCCAGCCTACTCCTTCAGAAGTCATTGGTTTGAACAAAAGTACTTTTCTTTTTGGTATGTTCTGAAGGATTTTTTACTGTCCTAGATATTCTGTACAGCTTCTGTTTGTTTCCTAAAATAAATATGTCAAATCTGAGGGCCTAAAGAGGCCGCAATAATTGTGGTGATATATCTTCTGGCAGCTTCCAAAGCTAAATTTGAAGATGCTGGTTTAAGTGTAATTGTTCTAATTTTATACATCACTGTAACCAAAACTGAACATTAATTAAGTTAATTGTCACACATCTAAGGATCAAACTGTTTTTAATTAGACCTCATCTAATTAAATCAACTATGATTTTTGTAAATTTTAAGGTGTAATCTATTCATTTGATTATCAAATTCTTTGACTGATGCTTAGATTGGTGCAGTTGGATAAAATAGATCATCGGCGTCTTCAGCATTCGTAATTCTTAATCAGAATGGAAAAAATGTCATTGTGTACAATATTTAAAAAACAAAAACTATTATATATTTTTGAAGTTTTTTTTTAAAATCATATATTTGTGTTTTTACAAGAAATAAAGTATTGTTTAAAAATATATAATGTACTTCATAAAATTATTGTTGTTCATTGTGCATATAATGAGAATAAAAAATGAATCATTGCATATACATTAGAGGTTTATTAAATAATCCTTTGCAAAGCTTTCTTTAGCTTTTGAATACTTTATATCATAGTCTAGACGTTAAGACATATACCTTTTCAAATATTATTTTGAATTCGGAAAACTGTAGTAGAAAATATGCTAATAATAAAAATCATACTTCTATTTTTAAAAGTGTTCTTCTGTAATACCCACACTTATCAAACTATAAATAATCTCTACTATGAAGTAATGAAGAAACTGTATATATGTATATTCCTGGCTTTGTGGAAAAATGGCAGCATGTGGAGCAACCGAATTTTGAACATGTGTTGTCCTTAAACCTGAATGAATGCATCTCAAAGCTCAAATTTTGAATTTCAAATTTGTGTTTTATTTATTTCATGTTTTATACGAATTTAATGAATTTTTGGTTAACAAACTCGGTGTTTTAAAAGCAAGCAGCAGTGACACTGCTCAAACTAATTTTTTTTTAACTCCAGTCTTTTACACTGTTGTCATTTGGCAAATTATAAGATACTTATCCTTCACTTTTAATCAACAAACTCAGCTATTTAAAAGCTATGTGTTGTCACTGCCTGAAATAAAATGCTTCTATCTTCCATGTGCCAATGCATTACCATTCAGTAAAGTGTAGGATAGTTAATCTGTCTGTTATTGATTAGTGATTTTAAATTAAATGATTTTAAAGCAGTAAATATAGTTCTTAAGAAAATTGATTTCTATTTTTATGATTGATTTAAATAAAAATGCATTTAATGAGATGTGTAATTGGAAATGTTTTCTTGAAATGACTCTAGTTGGATCCATTATACATTTTTCCTTTTATATATATATAATGATTATTTTAGGCAGCTAGTACACAAGTGGCTAATAATATGCAAAATTTAAAATTTCCATTTCATTCACTGCAGTTGTAAAAAATGTGCAAACATCTTTTGATTGTTGCAACAACAGCAAAAAAAGGGCAGATTATAGAAAGCAGGAAGTTGTATACTTCCATCTTTTAAATTATTTCCTTCCTCTGTATACACTTGAATTATGTATATCATAGAAACTTAAATTACACTTAACAAAAATTTCTTGCATGATAGGAAAATTCTGTTACACAATTCGATTCAGTAACAAAAATACTAAAAATTTCCCATGTGTTGATTTGTGTGACAAATAAAAAGCAAAATTTTGTTTTTCAGCATTTTTTACTAAATTATGATTCTTAATACTTCATAGCTGTGAACTCTCTCCCCCCCTCTTTCTTTCTTTTTTTTTTTTTTTTTTTTTTTTTTTTTTGTCACCCTCTCCCGGCTTTTAATTTTTAGTCTTTACAAATAAAAGTTTTTTAGCAATAAAATTAAATTCTGCTGGTTTTATTATTCAGTTAATGAAACTTAAATTGTGCAGATTTTATTCCTTTGCCCTTTGTGTTCAGTATAATATTTCTGATTAAATTTTATTCTATCTTAATTGTTTTAATCTATGGCAGACATTAGTAGAACTTTTTATGAAAATTTAGCAAATGTTTAATAAGTTAATATTTGTCTTTAATTTTGTTTTACATCAGTGTAGAGTACAGTACAGTCAAAAGTCTTTAATCCGGACTCGTCAGGACTTCGGCGATTCCGTATTATCGGTTTTTCCGGATTATAGATCATCAGTTTAAATCTGGTAAGATGGCATGCAGAAATTCTAAAATTAAAAATATGAAACCGTAATTTATACAATAAAGAGCAATTATGATCTAAAGGGTATCAAAATTTACAAAAAAAAAAAAAGCTTAATATTTATTTGTTTACTTTATTAAACATTTCTTTCAACATGTGCATGCGTAAAGCATACATTACGCATAGTCGAAATTACAAAATTGCAACCAGAAAACTATTTGATGTGTATTTGTGATATTTATAATGACGGGGAATTTGATTTAAATCATATCAAAGATGGAGTACATCGAGATGAAATACTACATTTAGTAAGGAATTATAAGCCGAATAAGATAAAAACATCTGCCCTGAAGATGAAGATAGTGCTGACAGACAAACTTCCAGTTCATAGCGCGCCGCGACATCCCCCCCCCCCCGCTAGCAGCGTGAAATTGATAAACAGATTTCGGAATGGTTAGATAAACAAAGGATATGCCTTTATCCATTTTTTTTTTTGCAGCAATTTCACTTTTTGTTTGATGGACATCGAAACATGCTTTCGCTTTGTAGATCCTTTGGCATCTCCAGAATCGAAAATTCTTTTTGACATAATCGAAAGTTCAAGCTTACTTTTATAAAATTGCTCTAACAGTCTGCAACAAATAATAAGCTGGATCCAATTAGAAGATTAAGGAACAACGCAATCTGCAACATTAACTGAAATAGATAATTAGATCATTTTAGCTTAGCTTATACCGTCCGTTATACATTAAACGCGCATACATAAATGTATTATGCGCATGCGTAAACGCATTAATGTGTTTACGCATTTTGTAGCTTTGAGGTTCGGATTATAGATCATTCCGGATTATGGACATCTGGATTAAAGACTTTTGACTGTACCAAGTGTATCCCCCCACGTTTGCAAAATCGTGGATGGCGTTCAAAGAATTTCATTAACCCATTTGCTATTCTGGAATCATTACAGCAGGATTTCTTAAATACAAGGTTGTCTTTCTGTTTTAGATCTTAAAACCTTCTTATATGTAGGGAAATTCCTCTTACCAGGAGTAACATTTACAGCAGCTGTGAGGCAAATTCTTAGTGTTAGTCTTACAATATTTGAAACTCTATTTTAGGGTAAATTGCAAAACATAAAAGTGACCATCCTTCACTTCCCTGTTTCATCGTACAAAGAAGTAAAAAAAAACTCTGAAGTATTTCTCTGTCTATGAGAAATTCTTCCTTATTTATGTCATTATTATCATAATTTAATTACCATTCATATTTTTCATTCAAAAGCTTAATTAAAAAATGGAACAAGAATGGTTTAGCAAGAACATGATATTATTGAAATCTCATATCAATTTCTTTAAATCTGTCCAGTTAAAAAAAAAAAAAAAAAAAAACTCAAGCATTGTCATTCTTCACCTCACTTTAGGTGAGATCCTGAATACTGACAATTCAACCAGAGATCAAATCCCACAGAACAAGCTAATGTGTAATGTGAATATGAGCTAGTACTCCTTTTGTAACATGAATATCAGTATGTGCTTAGTTTCTAAGCTCTGCATGGAGAACTTAAGTCCTCACGAAGGCATTCCTTCCCTTAGACAAGTAACCATAATGAAAAAAATTCCCATAATGAAAAAAAAATTCTTCCTGCTGCAATGATCCTCATGACTAACTGTTGCAATATTATAATCTCGCATGAAAAATCTCACCTAGACGAAACCCTCTTCTAGTTGCGTCATTGGATCATCTTCCTACATTTGATATTTGGGAGGGATTTTTTATCATGGATAATTGCCGTGGCAACTACCTCTTTAGTGTATCTGTTTCTTCGTACAATCAACATATTCAGAATCATTCAGTTTTCGGTGTCATATGTTGGCAGCACTTACTCAGCTATTAGAATAAGTACCGAGAAGGCTTAGCTTCATACGGGAAGTTTGTGTTTTTTGACTTTCCTGCTTACGTCGTCACTACCACTGGAAGAATTTCCGTGAAGACATGATATATTTTCTGGATTATGAGTGCCTTTCACTTTCCTATTCATGTTGCTCCGTATGCTTCAAAATTTTTGTTGTTATGAAGAAGAAGACAGGTTTTCCTTATGCTTTAGAATATCGAGGACTTAATACAGGACTTGCATAAGATGTGTACTGGAAAACCTGTTGCTGCAAAACTAGAAGAAATTTAAAAAATTTCAAAAAGTATATGAAATTGGTTATAATAGCAAAAATAACTGGAAGGCTGATCTACTGCAGCTGAACTTAGAAAAAAGGAAAAGTTTACACACACACACCAAAAAAAAAAATTCCCCGAACTGACACCAGCCCGGTTACTGTTCCTGAGACCATAACACATCCGTTCGAAGGCTTAGACACTGATACTTTTCATGATAAGAAAATTTAATGCCAAAATAAAAATTCTGAAGCCAAACACATGATTGTAATTTCTGACACCATGATATAACTAGAAAAACGAAGATTGCCTTCGTTAGTTTTTCCAAGGCTAGAGGTCACTTGGAAAGTGATACGTAGCCTTTTATCTGAGCATGGAGTATAAGGATATAATGGAAAGCTTAACAGCAATAAAAATTACACTTTTGTTTGATTCCAGCAGACTCGGAATGCAGTTTTTGGTCTGTTTCTAAAGGAAGGACATTCCTTACAGCACTTACAGGATCATAGCGAATACATGGTTTACCAGCTGACTTCGACTCCAAGGAAATTTATAGAACTTATTGCCAAAGGATTTCTGGGGAAAAGTTACTCATTTCGCGAAGAAAATTCAAGATACCATGAACAAGTTTCCTGTATTTTCCACTTCAAGGAAAAGAACAGGGAAAAGCAGAAGCAATTACTTGCAGAAGACAGTTTTGGATCCGCATGTCAGAATTAGATGTTATAGAGCGAGTAAAATTGCCATAATTTGCCTTCGTTGTCAGAGATTTGGCCAAGGACAGATCTTTTGCAACAACCCGCCTAGATGCCTGAAATGTAGGCAGAGTCATTTGACCTGCACATATATTCTTCTTAAAGAGAAGCCAACATGCGCCCATTGTAAGCTGAAGCATGTGGTCTCATCAAAGAAATGCGAATTTTGCCCCAAATTTCGCATCAAGAAAAAAGATAAAAAGTTATCTCGGAGACTGAAGAAATCTGCCAACTATGATGCTTAGAATCCTAACATTCAGCATCTAAAGAAAATGTCTGAAGCAAAGTGCTCGTTCCAACATGAGCAGACAAACTCCGAAAAAGCTGGATATTAAACATGGATGAAAGAATAAATTTGTTCAGTAAACTGATACAGATTGACAAAAAATGTAAGAAGATTAAAACTACTGAAGAAAAGTTTTTTTTTTTTTTTTTTTTTTTTTTTTTTTTTTTTTTTTTTTTGCAATTAATATTGTGGACATGATTGCAAAAGCAAAATTTTAAATTTCTGCTTCCTTTCTATGATGAGTTCTCATTCGGACTTTCCAATACAGTAAGTAAACCTAGTCACAAACAGATTTTTATGTTTGTTGTGGTAAGAATTTCGTAGCGATCCTTTTGAGAAAATATTAGAAGCATTGCTCTTTTAGCGATTTTGCTCTAAAATACCTATCCCTGCAGAAATTTCACCTCTGTTTTTTCTGTTACAGAAAAATCCTACAAATACAAATTTTATAATCGAGTTTAAGATTAAAAAAAAAAAAAAATTCTACAAAAGCCATTGGAACATTACGAAAAGAACTACGCATACGAAAATGGCGACGTCAGAAACTGAATATTTGTCATGCGCATGGTTGCCTGAATAGTTGTTATGCGTGAGGTTACCAGAGTTTAGCGTATTCTGAAACCTTGCAGATTTTTACTAAAGCAGTTGCAATAATATGTAAGTATCGAAAAAATAACTGTTGCTGAAAAGAAATTTTATTTTACTTTTATTTACAAAAGATAAATAATTATATAAATTTTTTTCTCCCCCCCCCCTTTTTTTTACGTATCTACAGTAAATTGGAAATTTTGAAATGAATCTGAAAAAAAAACTCAGTTTGTGATTCGAAGATTTATAGTTTGCTTTTTTATTATTCAAAAGCTGCTTTATTTACACTGTTTGAAGATTCAA